TTGAAAATGATCTTTATTAATCGTTCAGATGGAGTAAGTTCTTTGCGTAATACAATCAGATTAGCAAAAATTCGCATCAGGGAAAACAGAAGTATAATAATATTTCCAGAAGGTACAAGAACAACCGCAAAACACGGTGTAAAATATCAGCCAGGTGTTGCTGCTTTATACAACGCATTGTCTGTTCCTGTATTGCCTATAGCTTTAAATACTGGCTTATTTTGGCCAAAAAGTATACTTTCCTTGAGAAGAACCCCTGGAAAAGCGATAATAGAAATATTACCCCCCATATACCCTGGGTTAAATAAGAATGATTTCTTACAAAATTTAGAAAAAATTATAGAAGAAAGAAGTAGCCAATTGGTTTTGCAAAAAAACTAATATTGCAAATTAATAAAAAATTTTTATAATATAGAAAATACAGTGTTTTAGGATTAGTACATGGCAAACCATAAGAGTGCTCAGAAAATGATAAAAGTAATAGCAAAACGCACTTTAATAAATAAGATGCGTAAGAGTAGAGCTCGTACTGCTGTTAAGAAATTAATTGATATAATAAAATCTGGTGATAAAGAGAATGTTGTTCTAGCATTTCGTAATGCCGAGTCTAATTTACACCAATGTGTAAATAAAGGCGTAATTCATAAAAATACTGCTGCACGCAAAATAAGCCGTTTAAATGCAAAAGTCAAAGCATTGATGACTGCATAATATGGTTAGTATAAAGTTGGGTGTATATTATTCAATCTACACGTCCTATATAGAATCAAAGGTTTAAGCAGTATGGATAAAAAGGCATTGTTAAAATTAGATAACGGTATAGAAGTTGAATTGCCGATATTAAGTGGAACTGCAGGTCCTGGTGTATTAAGTGTAAAAGATTTATACAAAACAACAGGGCTGTTTACTTATGACCCAGGGTTTGTTTCCACAGCATCATGTTCTTCTTCAATTACATTTATCGATGGGAATGAAGGAATATTAAAATACAGAGGATTTGATGTTAATCATCTAGCAGAAAATTACGATTTTACATCAGTTATTCATCTATTACTCTATGGTACGTTACCAACTCCAGAACAACATAAAGAATTTCTCTTAAAAACACATAAAGTATCAGAGCAAGTTGTAAACGTTATTAAGGCATTTCCTAATAGTGCTCACCCTATGTCGATTCTAATTGCATGTTTTGCAAGTTTAGCTGCATCCTATCATGAGCAGTATGGTAATAATGTTAATAGTCAAGATCTAAATTTTGGTATTTCTGCGATATTACAAGTGCCCGTTATTGTTGCAATGATCTATAGACATATTAATGATCAAGAATTCATAAATGCAGATAGCGAATCAAGCTATAGTGGAAAATTTTTGAAGATGATGTTTAACAGTAGTGAAAAAATTCATCTATTTACTAAAGCCTTAGATAAAATATTCACTCTGCATGCTGACCATGAACAAAACGCTTCTACAGCTTCTGTGAGGCTTTCAGGATCTGCAGGCTCCAATTTGTTTGCATCCCTTGCTGCAGGAGTAACAGCACTTTGGGGACCAGCACATGGCGGCGCCAATGAAGCAGTGATAAACATGCTCAAGGAACTAGAGCAAAGTGGAAATGTAGATCAGTTTGTTATAAAAGCTAAAGATGATAAAGACCCATTCAAGTTAATGGGGTTTGGACATCGTGTATATAAAAATTATGATCCACGTGCACGGATATTGAAAGATACTTGCCATGAAATCCTAGGTAAGTCAGCACAAAATAATAAGCTATTAGAAATTGCAGTGAAACTCGAAGAAATAGCTTTAAAAGATGAATATTTTATTGAACGGAAATTATATCCAAATGTCGATTTTTATTCAGGTATAATAATGACTGCTATGGGGATACCTTCAAGAATGTTTACGCCAATCTTTGCTCTTGCAAGAACCACAGGTTGGGTTGCCCAATGGTATGAGATGGTGCGTGATAAAGAAACAAAAATTTATAGGCCAAGACAATTATATACCGGTGAATAAAAAATTTAGAGTTGCCTTAAACAAAAATATAGATAATATTATTCCTATGTAAAATTTATAGGTCATCTATGAGGTTAACGCTAGTACTTTTTTTATTCTTTCTTTTGCACAACAATGCTAGTGCTAAGGTTATTCTAGATAAAAAAATATTTTACACAGAGCTAAATGGGAATATTGATTTGAAATTTGGTTATGCTTTTAACCAGAGTACTTTCGGAGATAAACCCAAGGAAAAAATGTCAAGTTGTCCAAATTTAAGTCTTCGTTACCTGCAACGCGTCCATCCAAGCACCCAAATGGGTTTTTTTGTTAAAGTAGATTCTCCAGACGTCATAAACTCACGTACCCTCGATATAAAAGAATTAGATATAGGACAAGGATATTTTATTATAAAAAACAAAGGACTTGGATCGATAGAATATGGTCGCAAGGGCTTAGTTAGTCAGGATATGCTAATCAACACTTCAAAAATTTGCGCTGCTGCTGGTGGAGTAAGTGGTGATTGGGCAAATTATGCAAATTTGCGTGGCGAGCATAAAAAGTCTGACGGTGCCGGATATGATAAAGATATTGTCTTTTGGGTAAAACCTAATATCTACAGTGATTATAACGGATTAAAGTGCAAGTCAGGCACATCAGTGATTAGTTACATTTCTCCTGAAATTTATAACTTTCAGTTTGGACTTAGCTACGTTCCCAGAGAAAATAATTTACATTACAGCAATCTGATTGGCGCAGGTCTTTCTTACAAGGGTAGTCTTTCAGAAGACATAAGTTTTATTGCTGCTGCAACTGGTGAATTTGCAAAGCAAAACTACACCGATGAAAAAGAGTGTCTAAGTAATCCTAATTGTAACAATCAACTGAAGCATTGGAATTTGGGAATAAATGTAAAATGCTTTAATCTTAACTATGTTTTCTCATATGGAAATGGTGGAAACTCAGGCAGAAGAGTTAATATTGTACAAGGAAAGGAAAAAAAAGGAGAAGTAAAGAATACACATTATATCAACGCAGGAATTGCATATCACTCTGATTTCAGTAAGCTAAGTTTCACTTATTTTGCTAGTGGCAGAGAGATAGCTGACTCAGGTACAAATGAGTTATCATCATATGCTGTAAGTCTTGAGTATCCTTTATTTATGGGTACTTCATACTATTTCGATGCTATAAAATTTTATACTAAAGAACCTAAAGTACATAATAATAACTCTGGTTATGTATTTTTAGCTGGATTAAAACTTAACTTTTAATCCAGCTTTATTCTGGCCTAAATTAGGATATGGTCATGAGAGTTGTAGTTGTCAGTGCAGTTGAACATTTCTCCTCCCAAGCCATTGATCAGGTAGAGGTCATATTCACTGTGTTGATCTGCTAACTCTATACTATTTTTTGTTTCTAAGTCAAAGCTGCCTGAATCTGATAGTAAGTCATAATTCAAGTTCTCTACTTTACTAATACTGTTTATTACATCTCCTTTTTCATTTGAGATAACCAAATTATAGTCATTACCTAACTTCATCACTTTGATGGATATTTTATCTTCAGGTAACACTATGCACTTTTTCCCTTGGTCATCATGAATAAAGAATTTGTCCTCCATAAAATAATATTTTTTCTCTGGTAAAACACCAACCTTATACTCTGAAACATGCAATTTATTCCAAAATTCTAACACAGGCTGCTTTTCTGCTCCTTCTGCTTTCTCATATAGAGCTTTCATATCATAATAGTCTATAACAACGTTTGCCTTATGTTTTCCTTGCGAATCCTGATCGTAGCTTTTCTCTATCTTCAAAATTGTGTCTTTTAAAATCACCGGTTCTTGCTGTTTTACCTCTCTCTTTTCCTTAACAGGTGGCTTGTCTGACTGCTCAAACAAATCAGGCGCATTACTTACGCTTCCTGCAGCCTGACCTTGCTGCTTATCCAATTGGACTAGTTGACCATGATGGTCTTTTAGCTCATTCGATTGGGTTGGTCGATCAGATTGAGCATGCTGATCATGTATACTATTACTCATAGTATTGTGATGATCTTTCTGCCCATTTAGTTCAGGTGATTGATTTCTTATCTGTTCCTCAACCCATATCTTGAACTCTGAATCATAGTTTTTTAAATTTTCTACGAACTCATTAAAAAGTTGATATCCATCAGTTATTTGTTGTGCTACCTGATCTACTGCTACATGTTGTGAAAATTGCGAAAG